TCTGGACATATAAGGAACTCAAAAAACTTAACTCCAAAAAAACCAAATAACTCAATCAGTAATGGGCAAAGGAATTGAATAGGCACTTGACAGAAGAAGAAATACAATCAGTCAACAAATATATGAAAAAAAGTTCAGTATCACTAGCAATTAGAGAAATGCAAATTAAAATTACACTGAGATTCCATTTTACTTAGTCAAAAGTGAAATGGCAATTATCAAGAATACAAGCAACAATAATTATTGGTGAGGATGTGGAAAAAAMGGGTACACTCATATATTGCTGGTGTACTTTGGTGCAACCACTCTGGGAAACAGTGAGAGGTTCCTCAAAAAACTAGGAATGGAACCACCATTTGACCTGTTTATACCACTCCTTGGTATATATCCAAAGGAGTTAAACCTACAATAACACATCAATGTTTATAGCAGCTCACATAAATATAGTTATTTCATACTAGATATAGAGCTAAACTAGGTGCTAGGAACCAACCTAGGTGCCCTTCACCAGATGAATGGATAAAGCAAATGTGTGTGTGTGTGTGTGTATGTGTGTGTGTATATATATATATATATATATATAAACAATTGAGTATTTATTACTCAGCTCTAAAAAAGAATGACTTTATGACTTTTGTCAGCAAATATATGAAAGTGGAGACTATCAGGCTAAGTGAAATAAGCCAATCCCCCCCAAACCAAAGGTTAAATGTTCTCTCTGATATGTGGATGCTAACACACAACAAGGGGGGATGGAGAATAGAAGTACAGTGGATTTGACAAAGGGGAATGCTGAGAAGGGTGGGAGATAGGAATAGGAAAGACAATGGAATGAATCAAACATAACTTTTTTATGTTCAGATCTGAATACATGACCAGTGTAACTCCACATCATGTACAACCACAAGAATGGGGTCCTAATTAGAATAAGTTATACTCAATGTATGAATAATATATCAAAATACACACTACTGTCATATGTATCTAAAAAAAATTCAAAAGAAAGAAACCTAAATAATAAATAAATAAATAAATAAATAAATAAATATCCTCTGGGAGTAAAGATCTTATGCCACTCTCCTATCTTTCCCAAGTGTTCTGTGTTCTGCAAAGTCCCCTCCAAAACCCAGAAGTTTGGAAGGAGCCTGGAAAGAAGATACTGTCTTCACTCCAGAAATGTTTTTGGGCTTCCCCTACTTTGGGGTGTTTGCTTTTTCCTAGATGAGGACTATATTAGGGATCTTGTGTCTCAGGAGTCAGTGTTGTGCACTGATTAAGACAGAGTCAGCCAAACTGCAGGCATCAAAATGTAGCTGTACCATAGTCAGTTGCTCATTCTCTCCATTTCCTTAATCTGTTTCCTTACCTGAGAAATAGGGATAATAGTGCCTATTTTATAAAGTTGTTGTGAGAATTAAATGAATTATTACTGTAAGTAACATGATTGGAAAGGCCTGCATATAGTGAGTTCTATAAAAATATTTTTTGAAAATATAATTTGTCCCCCCCACCCATGCCATTTGTCCTTAACGATAGAGTGGGTTTTCCTGCAAAAAAAAAGTAATTTAAATGTATATACATTGAATCTTGGTTATGTATAGTAATCATAGAGAAAATTGCTATCAGACTTATCCTTTTAATTTCTGTGTAAGGAAAGATAGTGGAATGAATCAAACATAACTTTTTTAAATGTTTTTTTTTCCTTTTTTCAGATTTTCTCTTTATTCCTGGTTTAAAACAATTCTATTACAAAACACCTTGGGTTTTTTCCATTGTGTTTCTTGTGCATAATCCATTGATCTTAATCTTGGATCTGTAAGTTTATAGTTTCCATTTGGCCTTGATTTCTTCAAACATATTTGTCTTTATGTATCCTCATCACCCCTGCCACTCCCATCTGTCTTCTCCTTTAGGGATTCCGCTTCCACAGTTTGCTATTTAGAGTTGTCTCATAGTTCACTTAGGCTGTTTCTTTGTCTACTTTTTASGGCTTTTCCTCCTCTGTTTCATTTTGGGGAGTTGCTATGACCAGGTCTTCATCACARTCTTCACATTTGGAACACCTAATCTGCTGTTAATCCATCCAATATGTTATTATYACAAACGTTGGTGACTTCATCAGCTGGCCCCAAACCTGTTGTTCGGGTCTTTTCTCATTCCCTTTTACATGTCCACTGAACATTGTCAGCATTTCTTCTCGGTTTTTGTACAAAAACCATGTTAGGTGCTTTTGTCAAATGTTCACTTCTGAATCAGTTTCGATTGATTGGTTTTTCTTCTCTTCTTCTCATTACGAGCTGTATTTTCCCGCTTCTTTTTGATTGGGAGATGTCTGATTTTGTGACTTTTATCTGATTGGGTTCTGGATATTATTACATTTCAAAAAATATTAACTCTGGTACACCCCGTTTCCTGGTGTTTACCTCAGGGTTCTGTTCCTCTCCCTGCCTTCCCTGACCACGCTGTCTGAGCTTCACTTGTCAATCTGTCTCTTACCCTGCTGTGCCGCTCTTCAGACCCTTATATGTGGGCATCGTGATATGTGTCCGTGTGCACATGTGTGCACGTGTGTGTGTTTGTGGGGGGGTCAGCCTCCCTACTACATAGGACAGGAGCTCCATGAGGGCTTTGCTCTTGTCTGTCCTCGTCACTGCTGCATCCCAGAGCCTAGGACAACTCTCTGGCACATTTTAGGCCCTCAGAGAAGATCTGTTGAGTAAATAAATAAATACCAGATACTATGCTGGGTGCCATTCAACACCATCCTGTGATGACACTGCCTTCTAAGGTAGTGACCTTAGAAGTCTGTCAGGAGAGCAAAGTGAGAAAGAGCTTTTTCTATGAAGCAGGGAGAATAGATGTTCGACAGTCGGAACAACTAAAGAGAAAGGTCTGGTACAGATATTCAGGAAAATAGGGTTTATGAAAATGATCCCACTTTTTGCTTCTCTTGGCCATAGAAATCCTAATTAACAAACTTCCTTTTAAAGATGTTTTCCCAGAATTTAGAAGAAAAAAGTCTTAACAGTATTGGTATTCTGGATGTTTTTCCCACAGGCAACATGATAAAGCATTGAAGTTTATCATGTACTTTCCTTTGTGTTTGTATGCATCCTCCATCCCTCTGCCTCCACTGTGAACTTGGTGCTGGTGGAAAGGAATCGTGGAGCTTTGGTGTTGGAACCCTCTGATCAGGAGGAGGGGTGACCTTCCCTGGGGCAGCCATTTCAGTGTGTCTTGTAATTTCACCTTCAAGGAGGCACTTGAAGGGCTGACCTAGAATGGAGAGCCTGGCTGAGTCTTCAACCTTCTCTCTGCTATATGGATTCTGTGACAAATGTGCCAATTAAAGTGGTGGCTTTGTCATGAAGCCTCAAGTAACGAGACCCAGAATGTATCTTCCTTTACTTCACATGGCTCAGCAGATGGAAACTACTTTCATTGCTACCACATTGTCCTGATTTAAATCAGGGTCCTGACACTGAAAAGGGAACTCTGCAGCCGATTAGCCAAGCCCCGAGTTAAAACTGTGTTGCTCTTGTTTGTGTTTCTCAGGGTGTTTTCCTGATTCTATTTCTGGCAGAGTCTTTGAAGAAGAATAGTTTTCTTTTGTGAATTAGTAAATGGAATTTTTTTAAAAAAAATAATGGATATGTATCTGAGAGCTTGAAGTATATGCATGTGCTTTTTGAAGAAAATATTTTCATTAATTTACCAAAGAAAAGTATTTGTTTAGGAAGATTTCTTGAAAAAAAATGTTAAGATAAAATATTCTTTAAATTGGTAAAAATTTCCCATGTATTTAAAAACAGGTTATGTAAACCAAATTGGCAACAGAATATTTTGCTTCTAGTTCAAGGAAGCAAAAAAAATGCTTCATGTTTCATGACATAATTTCTGGCTTTCTAAAATAATCATATTTACATATAAGGCAGAAATATAGAACCATAGAGATCTATTTTTTGAATGAAAACGTGCGTGTGATTTGTATCTTACATGTTAAATTTGWATAGTTCTTATTTTTAGGCTTAAAATAAGTATGCTTTTAATATTCTTTAGTGCCATGTGATTTTAACTACAGCTTATTTTTCTTTCCAAAAGTCACTTAAAACAGGAAATGAGGCTTACCAAGTACTTGAACAATATTCTTTCATCTTGGTATTTACAAACTCTCACTTAGAAAAACAAGGCTCATGTGCAAACTCTTGGAATAACAGAGCACCTGCTCTTGAGTTCCTGCCAAGCATCCTTCCCCACTCAACCTGAACATTGTATTTTCATGAGCATTTCACAATATTTCTCATCCCTGTTCCCAGTCTTGACCCACTGACCCAAGAATCAAGAAAATGTCATGTTAGTGCCTACTAATTAGTGCACCCAGAGAGCCTTTTCATCTGGCCTTTCAACCTTCTGGAGGAAGGAGCACAAGCTGTCACTTGCATCATGCAGGGAAAATGAGCCTTTACTACATTTTCCCTGTTTTGCAAACAGCCGAATAAGCCCAGCTGAGCTAGAGATGAATATGCAGGTTAGGAAGAAATTAACCTAAAATGCACTAGTGTTTGCATGACAGTGTTACAGATGACACAGTACTGCTTTGTTGAAATACCCCAATGGACTTCCGCAAGCCTGAGTTTTTTAACCCGAGTATTGCTGTTGACTCACACTTTCATTTCMAAATTATCATAATCATCTGATGAAGTTATTTTAAAGTTATATAAAAATAAAACAGTTAAAAAATTGAGTAGCATTTCAATGCAGGAAGTTTCCCTTGTTTTAAGACGCATTTTTGGAGAATGCTACAGTTTGTTTGTGAGCATATTTYGTTTGAGTGCTCATTAATCAGTGCTGTTGGGCCAGGGTCTCCTGAGCCTTCTGGGTTTGGGGGGAATCAGCTACTGTAATTAAAGGGATGAAATATATCATGGTCACAAACTTACTGCATCAGACAATCGARGGTTTTATACTAGTAGAATTAATCTCTTTAATTTTTTCCKTAGGTCTTTAAGATAGAAGTGCTAATGAATGGAAGAAAACATTTTGTTGAAAAAAGGTACAGCGAATTTCATGCCTTGCACAAAAAGGTAACCTTTGGTTTTTGTTCTTTGCCTCCTTTTCTCTATATGGCAGATGATATAATGTTAAGACTCCTTTCTGTGGTTCTAGGAGCACTAATATTTCTTGTGTATACATGGTTTCTATTATCATAATGTAAATTTCATTTTAAAATGGATTATTCAGTCTCTTAAAGGTATGCTTCCTGTGTAGATGGGGTTTCTCTTAGGATCATTTCCATATACAAATCTGAGGCTGCAAACCATTTGTAGTATACTGCATTGGATGTTATAGCTTCTGAAAGAATAAGACCCAGACCTTGTTTTATCCATGAAATATACTTAATGTTCTGTGCAAAARGGAAAAACAAAGTAAACTATCATTTTATGGAAAAAATTTATTAAACTCAACTTACATGTACCTGGATAAGATAATATACATGTATATGCATTTTCAAGACTGGGGAGCACATGCAAAAGAGAATCATAGATCCTCACCTTCTTTTGAGTTGTAAAGGGCCACTATAAAAGACTGATGTTTCAGTTCTAGAATCTATTTCTCTAAAAGTCTTATATAAAGGAAACAGAATGTAAAAGCAATAACTGAGTAGGGGAAAATGATCAGTAATGAACAGAAAAGTGAACAGTTTTTATCTTTTAACCAAATTTAATTTTTTTCAGGTTACAAATTATTATTRGGGTGCTAAAATTATCTTAATTAGAAATACCTTGTGAAATTGCTCAGAAAACTAACCATGTCAATGCAATTTTACTATTTTTTTCATTTGTATTTCATATAAGATATATATGTACATGTCAGTGTGTGCATATATATTTACCCACCCACATGGACTGTATATATAAAATATATACATACACATACAATATGACATAATTCAGTCTCCTTATTGGTTAGGTGAGAAGTTAGATGATTAGACACTGAGTACATATTAAGAAAGAGAGTCATTTTTTAAAAAAGATTTCATTAATGACCTCTTCAATTTTCTGGGACATATCATTGCATAAATAATTTGTGATGGTGTACTAACTCTGTATTTAAACTTTTTAAACATTTTTTTTTCAAATTAAGTTTTCCCACTGTGTTTAATCAGAAGAATRGAGAATTGAGTATAAACTTTAACAGAATATTGTTGGGAGGTTAGTGAGCCTGTTGCTCTTTGTTTTCCTTTAAGGGGAGCTCCAGGTTGTCTGTATGCTTCTCTGTTAGGACAGCAAGGGATAATTCACAATGAATCCTCCAGTTCAAATTTTGTTAAGCTCACTTTCAAAAAAAAAAAAAAAAAAAAGAATTACAGGTGAATAGCTATTTAGGCCAGGTTTTGCCAGCAAATTTTCCAAAGCACCAATTCCAGAGACTCAAAGAAAAAACAAACCTGAAATCTAGGTCTCACTTCCTTCTCATGGAATTCTGTTTTCATTCATTTTTTTTTTTTTTTGGAGGAAACAGGCTCTGGAGAGGTTYTGCTGGATACCTAATGAACTTAGTCTCTCCAGGGAGAGAGAGTAAGACCAGCTCTCCCCCCACACCCCACTCATCTTCTGCCAACCAGTCTGGACTGGGCAACCTGTCATGTGTAGGTTCTTTCCTAACTGCCTGGGTCAGCACCCAGTCCTGCATGATCCGACAAAGCCCAGCTCTTCTCTCCAGATACTGGGATTGGCTCACAGGAAGCACAGGTGGGTGATTGCCAATTAGGCCAGCTCTGAGCAGGCTACCCAGGCTGCTGGAGTGGAGGCTCACTCACCCTCTTCTCTAATTCAGTTTGTTTTCCTCTGCAGCAAACGACCTTCTCCCCAGTGATCTAGGCAATTCTTAGGTATTTGAAATCAGAAAAAAATTCCTAGATTTACTAGGACTTGCTCTCCTCTCAATTTCTACAGTTCTATTAATAATTTTAACTAGTCTCATAATTCCATAACAAAGTCTGCTAGAGTTAAAACAGTACAAATTCTCAAATTCTTCAATTTTGCTTATTTCTAGCAGCTTTGTTAAAACATTTGTGATATCATTACAGGGACATAGAGACAAAAATAGATTTGTGGGGCAGAGTTTTAGTTGGGATGCACTGTCTAATCTTCTGCATTCTAGAGGTGATAGCCACTGCTAGAAAAATCGCCTTTACTTCTATTAAAGAGATAAAGTTTCCTCTACTTGCCCCATTTGACTGTATTAGATTTCACAAAATGCTAACTACAAAGGCAATTAAATATAAGTAAGATGTAAAAAGAAAAATCATTCTGTAATCTTGATTGTAAAAGTGTGTGCTAAGGATTAAATGGGTAAAAAAATTAATCCAAATACTGTACACAACTTTATTGATTCTGTTGCCCATGTGAGGCTTCATTCTCTTTATAGTTTTCCATATTTGAATTTTGTAACAGGTTATGAATGTTATATGTTTACCAAGAATTATGTTMACTTAAATGTAGTTGAATCTATTGTCATTTAATTTTCTTGAAATATTCAACTATTTCTGCAGTRTATGTAATTTATTCTCTCACCTACCTTGATTTTTCTTACCGTTTACATTACATTTCACTTTTGCTTAAAGTGTTTAACCAGCGTCCCCAAGTTGACTCTACATAACATATGAGCTATTTGCAAGTGCTTTGCACCTTTAGGATAATGAATGAATAGCTTCTGTCCATGCACCACACACACACACACACACACACACACACACACACAAAATGCTGCCTAGCTGATTGTCATTGCTGATTTAAAGGCAGAAACTAAAACCATTACCTACTTGACAGTTTGATAGTGTTAAAGAAAGTCCTTAATGCTTATTACTTCTCCTGAACTTTCATAATTAAACTTGTTAAAGTACTGTTTACATCTTAGAATTGTTTTTCTAACATTTGGAAAAATGTAAGAAATTCTTTCTATGTATGCATTGTTTTTCTCCCTTCAATTTGCTTTTAAATTATAAACCGAACTCTCTTAAAAAAWTTTTTTTTGTATTTGTAGATGGACACAATACCTTTATTTTATTTAGTTTTATGCGCTACTGAGGATCAAATTCAGTGCCTCACACGTGCTAGGCAAGTGCTCTACCRCTGAGCTACAGCCACAGCCCCATAGCAGATTTTTAATGTAACTGGCAAGCATGAGAGTGTAAGGCTCACAGCACCCCATTAACTTGAACTTTATTTCTTCAAAAATTGTGTTTTTTTATTTGGCAGCACATATGCCTTGTTGTTGTTGAATTGGTATCTCTTTAGTTTACTTAATAGTTGTAGCTTTTTTTCAAATTATCTGTTTATGTGTGTTCTCATAAATACCTGGTCTTATTGTTTTTGCTTATTAGCAAAAATTGTGTGGCCTTGAAATAAAATATTAGCCATTTGCTGAAAGTATATTTTACCTAGTGGCTATTTAATTTTGGTTATGAAGTTATTTTAATTTGAAAAAAAATTTATATTTTTATGTTTTATAATATGWCCATTTTTACTCTTTTAAATTTGTCATTTCTTCTAGAACTATGATGAGTATTTGATTCTTTTTTTTTTTTTTAAGTTTCCATAGATTGTTATTTTTTCAAGTGTGAACTCTGGACCACCTAAGTGCTGATTTCAGGATGCCAATCAGACTCTGATGCAGCTCAGGAATCTGCATATTAAACCAGCCCCCCAGAGGGATCTTAATGCTGATTCATGTTTGATAAATTCTGTTATGGCTTATATTTTTAAAGAAATKACTTACAACACAGCCCCTCTCACCTATCACACATATACACCCACAAGGTGTAGAGCCATACCATTCAAGGTTTTAAGCCTCAAAGTGCTTCCCTACATTCTCTTGCCTGCATTATCCAGAATGTCACTAAGTCCTGTTGATTCATTCTTCTAAATATCTATAACATATACCATTTTATTTTTCATTGTGTACTCCCACCATCCCAGTCCAGAGCTACTGTGGATTAGTGTTGCATTACCCATTTCTTATTCCTGTATTCTTTCCATTCTCTGCTGCATGCAGTTTTCCTAAAGCACCATTTCCATCTCCAGTCTTGCACTCATTCTGAAATAGCCCTGTATTGTCTGCCACACCATAGACATTGACTCTCAAGGCCCATATTCTTAAACCTCGAATTGTGTCCTAGTGTCACTATAACACTAAGTGTCACCAAGCACTTAATGGCTTAACCCAACATGCCTTTATTATTTCACTCCAAATGGGTTGATAGGACCACATTCCTTCTGGGGGCCTTTAGGAGAGAACCAGTTTTGTCTTTTCCAGCTTCGAGAAGCTGCCTACCTTCCTTGGTTCATGGTCCTCTTTCATCTTCAAAGCCAGCAATCACGTTCCTCCAGCTTCTGCTTCCACCATAACATCTGCCGTCACATCTCCTCTCTTTGATTTTGACACACCTGCCTCCCCCTGTGGTAGCACTGAGCCCAGTAACCCAGGAAAGGCATCCTACTTCAAGATCCTTTGTTTAAATCTCCTCTATAAATCTCCCTTTTCCATATAAGGGAATATATTTTTAGATCCTAGGGTTTAGGGATTCTTGGGCATCATTGAGGAAGCCATTATTCTGTCTTCCTCAAACTCTTTTCTGGGCTGGCCTTATTTCTCACTGCTCCTCCTAAGAAAATATCGGCCCAGCCACTCTGTTTCTCCCTGCACCCAGGTATCTGCTGTGAAAATCACCACCTTTCTCTCTTGTCAGGCTGAACATCCTTCTGTGTTCTGACCATTCCAACCAATCCAAGATGTGTCAGTTTCTCCTTCTTCCATGCCAGCTTCCTTGGTTCCCTAATGTCTTTGTCCTGGAATCTCTTCCATTTAGAATAGAAATTTCTACTTAAACACTCAAAACATCTAAGATAATTAAAACTTAGTCATCCCTAAATTTTGTCAAATTAGAAGATAATTTTGTTTTAAAGGAGGGACCAAGCCTTATCTTTTGTATCTTTCTTGCTGTTAGAGTGTTGGGTACATGTTAGGCATTGAATGAATATTTGGCAAATGGGATATTTGGAGAAYTCCCTGCACATTCTTA